CCCTGGCGGAGGTCGGCCAACACCCTAGCGGCCTCTCTCCCAGCGACGGCTCTGTCGAAGACCCGCCTCATCTCTGCTGAGAGTGCCTGGAACGAGGCACAGCAAGGATCTTGATTCTCCCACACCGCTGTTCCCCATAGCGCCGCCTTTCCCGTCAGCAAAGTTATCACGAATGCCACCTTGGCTTGTTCGTTCTGGAATGTCCTGGGCTGTAAAGCGAAGTGCATGGAACATCTCGTTAAAAATGCACGGCAGTAAGCTGACTCACCCGCATAGGGTTCAGGAGCCGGTAGGCGTGGCTCCGCTGATGCAGGATTCGCCGGTGGTGTGGGAGGAACAGCGGGTGTGGGGGGCGCAGCGGGCATCTGAAGCTGTTGAAATTGTCGGGTGAGCTCGGACACCTGCGTCACCAAGGCTTGTATCGCACGACCCGTGTCACTCTGGATCCTCTCCTGGGCATCCATTCTTCTCACGCTGAGGTGGACGAAATCCTCCAGCGTGGTGGGTGCTCCTCCTGCTGCTTCCATAGCTTGGTCAGATCGTTCTGTCATGATCTATAAACGAGGCTGGAAGCAAAAGCAGGTACTCAAAGATTTATTGGTCAGTAAACACAAACACAGAATGATGACACGGGCGTGGACGGATGACGCAGGGACTTTGATGGCCAGTGAAGAATCCGTGATGTGAAGTCCGTGCAGAGAAGAATCCGTGAAGAGAAATCCGTGCAGAGAAGAATCCGTGACGTGCGATCCGTGAGGTGAGGAATCCGTGCAGTGAAGACACGAAACAACAATCCAACACCGAGACAACGAATCCACAACAACACGACGAGGCAAACGGCAGGAGAACGGGACAGGAACACACACGAGACATCAACCAACGATCTGACAAAGGGAATGAGAAAATGGTGAGTATATATAGAGGAATGAGATCGGCTGCAGCTGGTGATGAGATGATGAACAGCTGGAGCGGATCAAGGAACGTCACTCAGTCACACCCACTACACACGTGCTTTCATACAACAACATAAACACAAGACAAGAAGGAACCAGTGGTTTGTATACCGTGACAGTGTGTATTTATATATATACAAAATAATTATACACAGTGCACCCACATATATTATGTAATACAAACTTTTATTTTGGATGTGATTAATCGTGATTAATCATCTGACAGCCCTACTTTATTTGTGTAATTATACGTATTTTTTAAAATAATTATTAAAAAAACATGTTAAGAATTTTAAATGGGCTATATAAACGAATATAGCTTCAAAATAAAAAAGCTAGTAAATAAAGAGGAAAAAAACATATTACAAGCAATAAACAAAGAGTGCTTTCAGTATTTAAAAGTATGGCTGTCTGAACGTTCAAGAGCTGTGAGTGATTTGTCTTCTCAGTTTAGATACGATAAGCTGCATTCACACTAGTGCACAGATCCCTTTTGAAATATAAGATGTGGTTTGTCCTGTTGGTTTAAGATATGACTGACTGACCGTGTTTACATTCATTTCGCATCATAAAAGCATTTTGAGATGCCAGTACATTAACCAATGAGTCGCTCACAGCCGCATGCGCCAGCGCTCTTCACAAAGCGCGCGTGAGTATTTTAAATTGAAAGCAGCCTTCTCAGTGATTTTCATATTTTTAATATATAAGCCAACTGCATTCCAAAAGACATAAATAATGCCTTAGTAGAGCATTTGTTCGGAAAATTCCGGCGGGCGAGACCGCGAACTGCAAGAGTAACATCAAGCAAAGCGGCAACCAGTGCGATATAGCCCGCGAATGTCCTTGTAATTCGCTTAACTAAACCTTTCCGAACTTTATGAAAGATTATTTTTCGTAAAGGTTCGAGCGGTTTCGTGTGTGTGTGAGAGAGAGAGAGAGAGAGAGAGAGAGAGAGAGAGAGAGAGGCAGAATACGGCTGTTTCTAAAGCACACGCAGCGTCATCACGCATCTGTTTAAAAACTAAGCTCAGACTCGATTCTGAAATTCTCTGAATATATTATTATACATTATATATTAATTATATATTACAACATAATATCACATAAATCAAACATAAACTGTTCTTTCCTGTATATGCCAGGCCTATATGCGTAGCGTGCCAAGTTGATGCTACATCTGCAGACTGCTTTTCTCTCGCGTGTCACGTGACCAGAGTGTAATCGCAGCCTTTGCGATTTAAAAATCGCGTTTCATCATATCGCGATATTATCGCAAATGCAATTAATCGTTCAGCCCTAGTACTCAAAGACCTTTACATGGAAGGGGGAATCTCCTCAACCACCACCAATGTGCAGCCCCACCTGGATGATGCAACGGCAGCCATATTGCGCCAGAACTCCCACCACACACCAGCTTACTGGTAGAGAGGATACAGTGATGAAGCCAATCAGTGTATGGGAATGATTTGGAGGCCATGATGGACAGAGGCCAAAGGGCAAATTTGGCCAGGATGCCGGGGTTACACCCCTACTCTTTTTCGAAGGACATCCTGGGATTTCTAATGACCACAGAGAGTCAGGACCTCGGTTTAACGTCTCATCCAAAGGACGGTGCTCTTTTGACAGTATAGTGTCCCCGTCACGGGCGTAAGGACCCACACAGAGCACAGGGTGAGCGCCCCCTGCTGGCCTCACTAACACCTCTTCCAGCAGCAACCTGGTTTTCTCAGGAGTCTCCCATCTCATGTCTTTTGGCAAGTATAGGGAGATTGGGTAATGCCCTGTGGCATCAGACTCATCTTTGATAATGAGATCCATCCTGTTGCAGAGCTTCAGGTCATGGATGAGTTCGTGTTCCAGTCTCATTATAAGTGCTGACTCTTTCATTGCCTCTCTACCTAACAATTATTTCCATCACCTATTTTCCTAATGTAAATCTTTCGCTGATCCTTTATTTACTACCTTGAATGAATTCTTGTTACTGTGCCATCTTCTCTATTTACACGATACGGTAGAATCTCCAATAACAAGGGCACCTTCAGGATTCTCTGTTGGTGTGTCAAGTCAGGAGAACCTCTTCTAATGTGCCACTGTTATCGTATTTTCAACCATTTTATTTCTTACGTGTCACCAATTTGTACTATCTGTTCTATCCGCATCCACATTTCTTCTGTTTACTTTTCTTCTCATTTATCCTCAACTAGCATCAGGATGTATGTTTTGATTGGAAAATAGGGCAAGAGTCACACAGGATTATTTTATAAAACATCTTCATCCTTTTCTACAGCTTGAAGGTCAACATTCACTGCCATAGAACCGTGAGCAGGTCATTAAAAAAACTTTTTTTTGTGTTCCAAAAAAGAAAGGTCATATGAATTTAGAGCAACACAAGGAGGAGTAAATAAATATTCTGAAGGGTTAGGAACATTAGCAACAGCTTATTAATGAAAGGGTTATAGTTCCACAAGAAACTGATTTTAGTTTCAGAACTAGTTCCACTAATGTGTGGGAAAAAGGCCCTTAGCCTCAGTACATTTTAATCGTATACACTCGAGGTAGAGAGACGTGAGGCCTGGAAATTCACCCATTTCTTATTGTTTGCATGTGATGGATCGTTTGCACAATTTAATTACATCAATTCCTCAGTAAAAATGGACCATGGATGCAAATGAAGGCGACAGGGAAAGATTCTTCAAGTTCAATGGAGAGTTTTTACACAATTTTAACTTTAATGAACAAGGTAATAAATAACGACTGTAAAAAGAGAACTGATGCATACAGTTAAAGTTAGACCATAGTTTTTATCTCTATAGTCTCCATACTCATCTCATATGTGACATTCTGAATCTCGAACCCTCGATCTGCTCGAGCCTGTGTGAATGCACCACATTCCTCACTATCTAGAAGCTTCACAGGTTCCACTAAAAGTTCCACAGTCAAATATTGCTTTCACTAAACAATATTTCACTCTCCCTGCTGGATGACATTTTGTTGTAGATTATTTTAGTTTTGTAATCAATGAGAGGGGATGAGGCAAAAGGAGTGAGATGGCAATGGCGCCTGAGGAAGAATGTTTCTATAAAAAATCCACAAGTATTTTTAGCACTGTTTGAATTTCCTGTACATGTCAATCAAACAGTCTCTTCCTGTCTACATGGGTGGTTCTTGATCAGAATAAGCTGTGGAACACACTGAAAATCACTGCACTTGTTTCTGATGCTGGGGTCCTTCTGAAGTCTGTACAGAGACACAAATGAACTTTTTAAAAGGAATTCAGCAAAGTGAACATTCTTCCATTTGCAGTGTTGTGCCTGAACGCGTTCATTGAACGATAGTTCATGAACTCGTTCATATTTTGGGCGAACGTGAAGTGAACGTACTGTATTACTGCCTGATGAACGTTACTGTGAACGCGTTCATTCTGGTGTCTGTGAACGCACGCTCTCTCAGTTTAACTTCGTTCAATAGGGTGCCAGATTTCAATAGAGCCTTCCAGGCGAAAACCCGGCAAAAACACACCGTAAACAGGCCTTAACCCTCTGGGGTCTGAGGTGTTTTTGGGGCCCTTGAGATGTTTTGACATGCCCTGACATTTGTGCTTATTTCAGCTACTTAAAACATACCATTTGCCAACAAATAAATTTGCTGTATTCAGCACAAACTCTGCTACAATAATTTGTGAGCAAAATGGATGTACATGTTTGCATTTTATGGAAAAAATGTTTTATGCGTGGTTAGTACGTTTTGGGGAAAAAAATGTCACAGCAATGAGGCCATTTAACACATACTGAATAGTTGTCCACAAGACTTTTGAGTTACTATTCTTGTAGGCTAGAATTTTTACTTCAAAATGAAGTGAAAATCATTCTGACCACTCTTTCACAAGCAACAATATAATTTCTTACGTCAGTTTTTGGTCAGCACTGCTGTCTGCGTGGGAGACTTAAAGTCATTACTATCACTTAACACATCCTTTCAAAAAAACAAACATAAAAAGACCAAACTTATTTTTTTATATATATAAAAAAGTGGACTGCCTGTTGCTTGCCTGCTTGTTTGCCTTGGCTCTCTTCGGAACTGGTGGATGGACGTGTTCATTGTCACATCTGTTATAAAAAAGAAAAAAGCATGAGCATGCTGATAACACAATCAAATAAACTGTATTATTATCATTATCAATCACTAATTGCCATGGATAATTTTTAAAAAAAATTTATTTCACACAAGAATAGGTAGCCTACATTATGACGATGTAAACACAATTAGGCTAAATTTCATCTGTAAAATATTACGTCTGTGCACTTACTCAGTATGATTCTCGATCGCACTGAGAACTGAACGACACCTGCGTGTCCCTCTGCGAGGTGCTGGAGAAGGAGAGCATGATGCAGACACATTCCTAAAAAAAAACTAAAAAAAAAAACTGTTAGCATACATTATCCAAAGTAAACTGATGGACAATTAATGGGTATGGATGCACAATGTATGTGTATATCTGTTGATGGGCCATGGGACGGTGAAATATCTGTTGATGGCTCATATAGACGGCACGCATTTAGTGATAGGCCTACACGCAATGAACGGATCGTTCGCGAACGACACATCACTACATTTTAAACATTTACACCTGTATTCAGTTATTTACGCATGATATAGTGTCATATGCCAACCAAAAGTGAACATTTAATTATATAAAAAATATATTGTATTTAGACCTCTTTTACCGGAGCCTGAAATATATTTCTCGTTATATAACCTAAGCAGTTATTCGCAAACAAAATAGGCTACATTACGCATAAGGCACTATTTTAGCATAAGTAGTGTCATAGGCTAACCAAAACTCAACATTTTTATATAAAAAATATATTGTATTTAGACAGTATCACATATTTTACCGGAGGCTGAAATATATTTCACTAAATCAATAGGCTATACCTAAACATGCAGTTATTCGCAAACAAAATACATAACGCATAAGGCAGTATTTTGGCATGATAATCAGTGTCATAAGCTAATCAAAACTATATATTTAATATACAAATATGTTTAGAGAGTAATATCACATTTAAAAAGTTTACACGAGCGAATGTTAGGGATATTGTGAGGCAATCTTTTCTGTAAGATGTCAAAAGCTATAGGCAATATATAGTCTGAAAATTCATTTGAGCTCTATACGATCAGAAAAGAAATGATAAAACACTAAACAACTTACTCTGAACTTGTATCCTCGGCGCGGGATCAATTCGTTCTTCAAAATGCAGCCGTTCCTCGTCCGAGTTATAATCTTCCTCTGAGGTAAAGTGAATTCTTCCTCGCTGTCCAGAATCATCTGAAGGGCCTCTTTGTCGGAGTACCGTGCCATCCTCGAAATGCAATGAATCTATCAGTGAAGAAACTTCGTGTTTTTATGCCATTGATCGCTGGGCGTGTGCTATGCATAACGTTAGATCACCTATTTACCATGTGAAAAGCGCTAGGGGCGTGGCGGCCTCGGCTCATTAAAAATAATGAACTGAGAACGAAAAAACTGTACCTCTCCTTGGTTTCAAACGGATTACATAAACTGGAAATATTTTTTTTTTTAATAAATTACTTAATTTAAAAGAAGAGAATACAAGCTTTAAAAAGACACATGTCTCGTGGTTCTGTGATAAATATTGACTTAGTTACAGTTCATTTTTCGGACGCGTTTCAGAATGGACTTCACTGGCAGAGAGAACGCAGAACGCGCATCATGTTTATTTTTCTTTATTAGGCGAAAAGCACAACACTTTGTTTTTATTGTGAGGTTCCACAAAAAAAATACAAACTTAACAGGATCGAATGATGTACAACACTTATATGTAAGATCAAAATCAACAGAGTAATTTGAGTCTCTTTTGCACCGATAAGGAAAAAAGTGAGCTGGTATCGCCGGCGAGACCGCCGACCCCAGAGGGTTAATATGTAGCGAAAAAAACATCCAATCTGGCAACTCAAGCCACCAGTGTCGCACCGCGGCCGCCGCATGCATCATCAAGACAAGAAGCAGCATGTAGTCGACAAAGCATCGAGGAGGCCTCGCATCGTATGATCAGTTTTAAGACAAGGTCGGTGAGGATGGGAAAAATCTTACATTTCTGTGCAAACTTTGCCCGCCGATAAAATAATTGCTCTAGTGGTTGTATATGGGTTGTGGCCAATTTTTTTTTAAAATAGCTCGCAGCAACATATGGAAAAAAAGAACTATGAACTAGTTCATTTTTTGGAACCGTGAAATTAGTTCAAAATTGTGAAGTATGAACTATGAACTGAACTAGTTCATTTTAAAATTTGTGAACTGAACTTTGAACTAGTTCATGTAGAAAGTGAACTTTCCCAACTCTGTCCATTTGTCCTGTTGTCAGAAGACTCAAATAAGTAGAGTACATCAGAAACTGAATGGACAGCCATATACTGTATCCAGTGTAGAGAGCGTGATTGATTATAATGGCTTCTATTTGCTTTTGATGATCATGTCTGGTGTTGACAGGTATCAGCAAGTTATACAACTGATCGCCAATGGGTGATTATACATTTTTAGATAAAGGTACACTGCTTTGTTTGCATTTTCAGTTCAACTGGCAAACTTTACAGAGTTGACAATTTTTCAGAGAAACAAAAAAAAAATGGTTCAAACAAAAGCAGGTTTGTGAACATCTCAATCTTGTTGTTTTTGCAAATTTGCCATTAATCTAAGTTGTAAAAATATACAATCTACTCCACTTTCTTTCAACACTACAAAACTGCAGTTTTAAAGTTTGCGCTCTATTCATTCAGCTAAGAAATCATCACTTGAAATGTCAATTGACATTTTTTTCCAGTAAATTATTATTATAAGGTGATTATTTTAATGTAATTTTGCATAGATCAGTTAATTTTTCACTGTAACTGTATGGTATCTTAAAGTTAATAAATTAATAAGTTGTTACTGCAACATTTTACATTATTTTGCCATTAAAATGTAAAACATGCTATAGTGTTTTTTATGATCAGTTTTATGTTACTTATACATTCTATCTGATTTATATGAACTCTTTCCACGCCAGTGTTTTTGAAAAAATTTGCCTCATCGACACGACAGCCATCGGCACTGATCCTCAACAAACCCGTCTCCATACCGGCGTGATGACTCCGATCTTAAACCAGATGGAACTGAATAATATTCTGATTGTTCCAATCTGATTTCTGACCTATAATGCTGCCTGAATCATAATCATACACTGTTTGTTCATTGGCCAGAGGAGAACTGGCCCCCCGAGTTTTGGTTCCTTGCCACTGTCGCCTTTTTCACCTTTTTCACCTTTTTCACCTTTGTTGCCATTGGCTTGCTTAGTTGGGGACATTCAATTTAATATTCAACAATAATATTGATCTGCCTGCATTGACACCATTATATGAGAACTGAACTGAGCTGGACAATGACATCCCGGTTTTCTCCACAGCGGCTATATATATATATATATATATATATATATATAAATGAACTAAATTAATAACTTTTTTACAACAAAATGAAACATCACTGAACTTACTTAAACTGGACTGTGACGCTATTTTCTTCTGGAAACAAACTTTGTTGCATTTTCCTGTTTTCTCTGTAAAGCTGCTTTGAAACAATCTGTATTGTAAAAAGCGCTGTATAAAATGTGATGTGACTTGACTAAGTTTCTTAAAAAAAGCAACATTTTGAGCAAAAATTTGAGAAAATCACATTTTTGTCAAAGACTACATTCAGATCGGATTCAGAACGATGATAAAAACACAGACGGAGTAGATCAAGTCCATCAACACCCCCCAAAGCTTCACCATCCTATAGCTCGTCCTAGGTCAACAGTTCATTCAGTAAAAAAGAAATCCAGTAAAGATAAGTGTATCAGAATTTTGTTCCATTGTATTGGTGCAACCACTGAACCTTTATGTCTGTCTCTCCTCTAGTTCTGATGCTTCTGATCGTGGCGATGCAACGCAGACGAAAAGTGCCTCTTTTCCTGGAGGATGAACGTGATGTGCGGGAGAACATCGTTCAGTATGATGATGAAGGAGGAGGTGAAGAAGATACAGAAGCTTTCGATATGGCTGCACTGCGTAATCTTAATGTCTTACGTGATTCGAAGGTACAAAATGTAACTCCAGTTAACTCTGTTAACCCATACTCAGCTTCAGCTATGACATCTTACAAAACACTTCCTGACAACACTGTCTTTCAAGAGTTTATCTGGGACAGACTGAGAGTGACTGATGTGGATCCGTCAGCTCCACCGTATGATTCTCTTCAGACCTATGCGTTTGAGGGAAACGGCTCGGTGGCGGGGTCTCTGAGCTCGCTGGATTCTCCCAGTTCAGATTCAGAGCAGAGTTACGACTACCTCAGCAACTGTGGACCACGCTTCAAGAAGCTGGCAGACCTGTACGGCAATCTTGACGGAAGCAGGGTTTTCTCCTAGCCTTAATGATCATGGCCTATAAACAATCACCAACACAACAATTGTTATTGTTTTGCAGGTGTAAAGACAATGTGAAAGGTCTAAATTTCTTTAGTTGGCTTTAACAGGTTTGTCGACTCACTCAAATGAAACGAAAGTGTGGTGCCAGGGTTTGATTTGGTAGGTGTACTGTAGTGTCCCTTCAATCTGACCACTGCCCTGCATAGTTTAGTTTCAACCTTAATCAAAGAAACCTGAGCAAGCTAATCAAGAGTGCGTTCGACTCAATGCAGTTCTGCTCAGACCCATCGCTGTCTGGCTTGAAGCAGTGCAATCTTTGTCTGATTTAAACTGCGCAAGTGTCACTACGGGAAGCAGAAAGTCTCAGACTTCACGGGACTGTAGTCTACACCAGGATAAATGAAAGTGCTCATAAATTGCTGTTGAAATGGTTTTCTCAATTGAAACAGAGTGGAGGCTTGGACCAGTAAACTGTATTTGATTTGTAACAACTTAAGCTGGTTTCTGGAAAACGTCTAGGTTACGACTGTAACCTCTGCTCCCTGAGAACAGGGAACGAGACACTGCGTCGATGACGCTTTGGGGAACACCTCAGGCGTGACAGGTGTCTGAAATCACTATCAAATCACAGCATTCATATTGACTGGCGACAGCCGCTGACTTGATTAACGTGCAACCCGGAAGTATATAAGGGCGCCTTTTAAACATGACAATCACCTTTTGTCTGAAGGGACTGTTTGTCAGGCAGGCCCGAGGCATGGCGAAAAGACACAGTGTCTCGTTCTCTGTTCTCAGGGAACGGAGGTTACAGTCGTAACCTAGACGTTCCCTTTCGAAAGGGAACTCGCACTGCGTTGTTGACGCTTTGGGGAACGATATACCAACGCCACCATGCTGAGGGGGGTGTATGCCCATTGGCAGTGACAACGGTCAGAACCAGCAAAATTCAAATAAAATGCCAGAACCACTCACCCTCAGGTCACACTGGGCTGTCAGTGACAGCATTCCCTATGGTCATAGCCCAAGCTATATGCTTCACAGGAAAACCTCCATAAACTTTGTTTAATGAAAGGCCTGCTCAAAGGCCTAGGACCACAACTTCAAATTAGAAGGGGTCCCTTCTGGGGAATGTGGCTAGTGAACCCGAAAGAGCGCCAGCCAATCACTATTCAAAGGAACATACTCACCCGAAATGCCACCAGGAAGGCCTGACCTGGTGTCACTTACATTGGACATTTCAGTCTAGCCAACTTCCTGTCTGTCCGAAGACAGAGCCTCTGGACACTTGCCTATAAATAAGGCATCCAACCCAAAGAGACTGCAAGCTGACACTGATCTAGCTAGGAGGCCTCACGAGAGGCCTACAACCGTCTGACCAGAATCAGGAGGCCGAGTACTCATAGTGACCCTTAGTGATGGGAGCACATGGCCTGCCTGGTAGGCAAACCAGGCTGTAGGCTAAAAAAGAGATTCCGAGAGGGGACCAGTAGCAGAAAGTGAACACTTTAATCATGCCAGGGCACAAGCTCGCCTTCAGAAGCTGCCTGCTAAGGCCAGCTGAACGGATAGAAAGCGGCCACTAGCTGTATCGCTGAGAAACCACTTACAGGGAGGTCTGGTGAGGCCTACTACCTCATAGCAAGCTAGAAAACTGGTTGCTATGAACCCCAACTCCGGGTGTCAGTCCCAGGGTGGCCTGCTAAGGCCAGCTGCCCAGTCCTGGGGCTCAGTCTCAGAGCGGCCTGTTAAGGCCGGCCGCCTGAAAGTTTTCTTTGGTAAGAAACTGATTGCCATAGACGTATAAGGTTGGGGACTGAGCTTCATGGTGGCCTGATAAGGCCAACCGCCTAACAGTGGTCTTACTAGCTTGCAAAAATTACCCACGCTGTTGGGGGTTTGCCTTCTGGGAGGCCTAAACGGCCAACCATACAGTGGCAAATCTTATTTGGCTGATCATAATCGGGGCTCGCCTCCAGAGAGGCACACTGAAGCCAATTGTCTGATTGGCCAGTGAATTTTAACAGCCAAGCACCCCATGTTGAAGCTCAGGGTCAGGGAGGCCTGCTAAGGCCAGTGCCTGACCGTCAACACTGCTGGCGGTATACCCCGTCACTCGAAAACTCATTTGAGGATTTGAGAGGCCTACTCGGCCTGAAGCACGCAAGTGCTGTCAGGCACCCAACCATTCTGCTGAGGACTCGCTTTCAGGGAGGCCTGGTAGGGCCTACTAGCTGATAGCAAGTCTATTCTACTACGAATACAAAACCGTTGGGAACCATACTACACCAACTCAAATATTGGGGCCACCCACAGGAGGCCTCTTGAGGCTGGCTACCTGGTTGCAGCTTTAATGTATGTCCCACAACGTTGGGACTCTCTTCCGAGGAGGCCTGTTAAGGCCTACTACCCGACAGTGAGTCTACTGCCCAAACTGCTAAGGCCAACCACCTGGGGTAAGCTGGCCTAAAGAGCCCTTTTTGGGGCTGCCCATCAAGGAGGCCTGCTGAGGCCTACTACTTGACAGCGCAGTCTTCGTTGGCAGATAAGCTGTTTATACAGTCCCTACAGTATTCTGGTACCTAACTATATTGCCCATGGCAGTGTACTCAGCAAAAATGCAACACCCTTTAAGCAAGGGGAGTACAACATATGCCACCCTGCCTCAATGAAGGCCCCAGATTGAGGGGCCTACCATCTATACACATGGGCGTCAGCTCATGGAAATGCTCTGGCTTCAAGGGAGCATACTTCGAAAACCAAAATGAAGTGAAGGTTAGAACTTTCTGCTCGACCCGAGCCATAGTGGTGTGAGGTAGAGTGATACAGAGCTGAAAGTGGAGTTCTCAGAACTACCTTGTATCAAGTACCAACCACCTGCCCCTGAGAATTTAACAGGGTGCGGGCATGCCAGTGGCTCTAGAGGTGAGAGAAATATTTCTGCGCCCAGGCTAGGAGAGTGCGGCTTGCTTGCAAGCCAACCACCTTCATCCCAGCGCTTGAGCAGTAGCTCAGCGAGCTGAGTGGAGCCTACTCTGGAGGCCCAAGTCCAAAATGCTAGCTCTGCACGGCGGGTTCCGGCAATCTAAAAACAATCGCAGAGCGAAAGATGGCCTAACCCTGCCCAAAAAGACCAATTGTACTGGGGAGGCCTAACCCTAGGTTTTTATCAATCATGCCTCTACACCAACCTGCATTACTCTTCTCACCCCCGAATGCAGAAAAGGGGGCGGGCCTTGGCCGAACGTCTCCTTTTTGGGAGGAGGCTGACATCTAGGGATGCTAAACAGCCTAAAATCACATAGTGAAAGGCCAGAGGCAGAAATGCTTCAGCAGACCGCCTCCACTATCCCTAGTATAGCCTAGGCCAGCTGGTGAGGGCCAGCCTATAAGCATAGATCTACCTGAGGCTCGGAGGAGCAACAGCCTCAAGAGAAAGATTTCTCCTATAGACGCTACAAACACCGCTAAGCCTGTATGGAAAACCCAAACAGAGCTCAAGGGAGCAATGTACTCAGGAAAATGTTAGACGGCCCCATGGGCCGGACATAAGATCTATCTGAAGCTCCAGTGTCAGTCTCTAGAAAGAAATCTATATACTTTCTAATAATTTTTTTTATTATTATTTAAGAGAGGAGATGAACTACTCTACCCTGCTGAGGCTAATAGCCTGAGGGCTAAAACAGATGTATTTATACAATAAACCAAGTGGCAGCATTCAACGTTTCCATTTTTTTAAATGACGTTCTGCCACTTAGTGCTCCGCTAACATTCCAGTTGAAATGAGCGGCGGCCTCAAAATGCTCTCATAATGAGAGGAAGCCTAGCTGTTAACATAGTTTACATATATAATGAGCGTTGGCACACCCCGTGAATTCACTAAAAAAGAAGACCATCACATACTCATACATGAAGCCCATATAACTGGTGCTTCTCTCCATCGTTCTAGCCACCTAACAGGGGGATTTCAGGGCCCTAATAATACCATACCTTACATTATACCAGTCACATGACCCCATAACCCTACACAGGGAACGATGGTCTGTAGAGAAATACATGTTCTATGTATTACATGGTCTGTAGAGAAATACATTCTGTTCTTGCGGGACTCCCGCAAGAACAGGGATCTGAGGGAGGTGATCCATCACCGACGCTGTGTGAGTTTGTGCTGGATCATCTCCCTCAGATCCTTGTTCTTGCGGGAGTCCCGCCTCTTCTGTGACCTACTCCTCCATGGAGGGGGCGCACAAGAGGCGACGCTGGCTCTCTGGCCCTGTCTACAGCCCTCCCGCTTGCCTGGGTGTGGAAGCGGATCTCAGCGGTATACAGGTCCTAAATGCAGCTGAGCGCGCCTTCGCCTATCTGAACTTTCCAACCACCGCCTCCACGGAGATGCCGAAAATTTGGGAGGGCGAAACCGGCGAATCGAGGAGAAAGCCCTTCTCTTTCTCCCCGATGTCGGCCAGATTCAACCACAGATGTCTCTCCGTGGCCACCATCTCCACCATCAACCGGCCGGTCGCGGCAGCAGTTTATTTGGTGGCCCAGAGTGCTAGATCTGTGGTGCGGCGCAGCTCAGCAACTGCCTCGGGACATCCCTGCCCCCTGGTCGAGATCCCCCTGCAGATCGGCCTGGTATGCCTGCAACACCACCATGGTGTGCAGGGCAGGACCGGCCTGACCCGCTGCCGTGTATGCTCTGCCGTTTAAACGCGATGTTGCTTTCAAAGGTTTGGATAGCAGGGTTGGAGCTCTCAGTGTCGATGCTCGTCCAGATGCAAGATAGTTCGCAAACGTCTCGTCGATGGGCGGGATTGACACGTACCCATGTTCTCCTATCCCCTCAACATCAGCGAAACTAGCCCGCTGATGTCAGTGGATACGGGCAGAATATGGGTTCTTCCATGCCCTCTCGATCTCAGTATGAAGATCGGGAAGGAATGAAAGGCTCACCTGGGCTGGTGGTTTTTGGCCAGGAAGAAACAGATCATCAAGCCTACCGCAGGCGGACCACGAACATCACCCTCATCAGCCATCTCCTGCTCATCCTGAAGAGCACTCGCTGTTGGGCTAAGAGGAGGAGATAAATCCTCCACCTGCAGCTCACCGAATCGTCTGAGAGGGTTATCCCCCTTTCAAGACAATCGGCGAGCTCCATCTGGGAACCCTCAAGGGAAAACGCTCAGTTCCCTTTCGTTGTCACTCCGAGTTCCGTCGGATGACGACGAATGGGGGTTTCGCAAAACGAGCCAATGGCAAACAAATGCCATGGGTCTGCGGAATTTGCATGGCGCAACTCCGCCCCACCTCGTGGGGATAAAAGGAGAAAGCCGGCAATATGCAGATATGTTTTTGCTTCGGAGCCAAGATGTTCTCTTCACTCCTGCAGTCTATTCTCTGACTATCTTCGAGAATCTTCAAGACGAGCAGCTTCCAGTCGGTGTTGGTGTGATGGCGTGTTCCAGCGAGTTTCACATTCCTGCCTGCTGATCTGAACAGCTGTGTGCTTCTCCCTGGGCGCTTCAGCACTGCTGCAAGCTTTTCTCACACAAAAAGAGCGTGCACGTGGCGCGTCTTTTTAAAGACGATCTGCCCGTGCATTTCTGAGTGCGGTAGTCTGATAGATTCAGCTGATGGGCAC